TTTCGACGGCCACTTTATCGTTGTAATGTTTGATTATTCCACTTCGCGATAGAGAAAGCAAATCATTATTTATCACAAAGTTTTTTTTTACATAAAATTTCAGTATTTTTTACCAAAGAGTGCAAAAGTTTTGTAAAGAGTTGCGCGAAAATACAGGCAGACGGCACTGGCAGTTTGAAACTAATAAGTACTAATTTTTTTTATTTATATATGAAATTTTATATAGCTAATATTGTTTGCTGAAATTTGATTACAATTTGCTTAAAATGTTATTAAAATAATTATTTTCTATTTTCGATATTGAAAATACATACAAGATTTGCGATTAATAAGAATGATAGTTCAGCTTGAACATTTCTTCTTCTTAATTTTATTAATGATTTTTTTTTTATTTTAAAAATTATTCAAGATAATTAATTTTGTGTGCCAAATGCCAATATTTCGTATATGTAAATATTTTTACGATTTTTTTTTTTAGCGAATTGTACTTTCGTCTGAGTTGAACTCATAAAACGAGAAATTTTGTGCCAATTTGTAAGCGAAAAAGAAATATCTCAAAAATAAATCACCAATAAACGAAAATCAGAAAGAAAATACTGAAATGAAAAAAAAACTTTCATTATTGCAAAAAAAAAGCAGCAAAAACCTGTTGATAATGTCCGAAAGAGACAAAAAATTAAAAGCAAAAATAAATTGCGAATTTTTTTTTGCGATCTTTAAAAGCTTTTTATTGCAAATAATGAAATCATCATTTTTTTCTGTTATTGATATTGTCGCTGTTTGTTTTTTTTTTTTCATTTTTTTGTGTTTCAAACACCAAATTTTCTACTCATTACAATCGAGAAACACGTGTAACAAAACAATAATAGCAGCGACATTATATATACATATATAAGAAAATATATTGTATAAAATAATGGGTGATATAAAGAGCAGCAATTTTCAATGAGATCTACAAAACATTAAGAGCTAAACAAATATTGTGCTGTTACTTTTTTCTATACTCCCCCTGTACAACAGTCGCAATAACATCCAATTCATAATGTACCTAAATTATTTAACAATAGATCCACATTATAATTTCGTCTTTAGTTCTACACTTACATATACATACACAAATTTATATCACACATTTGTAAGTACATATATACAAATAAATAAAAGTAATATTCAGTTTCCATTTCTAATGTTTTATGTCAAAGCAAAAAAGCACGAAATGCGGCATGGCATTAATAATAGAGAGAATTTGTTTTATTTTCACTGTAGATTTTTCTTTGTTTTTTTTTGTTTTGTTTACATTTTGCAGTCAAGTTCATGGTCGGTTATTGATTTTGAAAGAGACAAACATACATAATATTTACCTATATAAAACGCAAAATGAAGTGAAGCGAGCATATAAAAGAACAACAAACAAATGGAACAAACACATAATAATAACTCCTTACATAACTGTAATAAATAAATAAATAAAAACAAATACAATAATAAAAGGAGAAAATAAGTAAACAAATGAATGAACAAACGGTAGAAAATAAGAAATCAAAATAAAATGAAATGCAAAAGAAAACAAAAAAAATTACTGTAAAAGAAATGAAAACAAAAAAAGATAAATAAAAACCAAACAAAAATTTTATAATCCAACATTACTGTTATATAGCGGTTATGCTGTTGCATAAAAAATATATGTATAAGTATGTATTTAAAATGATAACAATAATAATAAAAATATTAAAACAAAAGAAGATGCAAAAATTAAAATTAACACCAAAGCAGAAAACACAAACAGAATAGGAAATTGTTATAAAACAAATAAAAACAAAATATAGTAGAGCGCTGTAAACAAAAAAATTGTCGTTTTGCCGCTATTTTCTACTTTGTACATAACAGGATAAAGAATAAAATCTGCTCTAACTTGTCTGATTAAATTTTTATACAAAATTTTAATGGAATAATTTGGTATTCTCTTAATCGTGACCGAAACTGAATAATGTTAATTGCAGAACAACAGAGGGCAAACAAAGGTATCTATAGAGTTGTCAAAACCAAACTTCACTAGAAGCAAATTGTTCGTACAATATAATATATTTCCTTTATTATGAAGAATTCCATATGCATATAGAGTTTTCATTGTTTTTGCATTTTAAACATATTTAACGCAACCAGAATAATAAAAACTTATCTCTAATCTTATAAATCTAAATTTAAAATTCCTATTTGAAAATAAATAAACTTATATCAAGTTAATAGAAAAAAAAAACAGGATTTCATACCGGCGTCACACTAAAACCAAAAAAAGGAAAAAAAATTCAAATATCTGTTAAAATTCCTCTTAATTAAAATTCACATAAAATTATAATAAATTTTAATTAATGCAATAAAAATAAAATTAAATTTATACAAATGCTTTCATTAAATATTCAAACAATATGAGTACACAAAAAAAAACGTATAATTATTAATTTTAATATCAAAAAAAATATTTATCAAACATGAAATTTGCAAATTTAAAGATATCTAAATTTTAAGATAGGTTATGGATTTAATTATTCTAAAACACATATATGAAACAAACAAAAAAATTCGTTTTAAAAATGTAGATTAACATGACAACTGATTAAATAATATTGGCAAAAGTCACGAATACAATTCGATTTTACAAATGATTACAAAAAACACACGATTTAAAAAAAAAATGGTAAAACTTGTTTTTAACCGTTTTATTCCTACAATTTTTTATAACTACCTTATCGTCGACAAAACTGTTATAAAATGAAACAAGTATATGACGACGTTATGTCAAATTTCCAAATTCAGCCATTTCTGTCCGTTTGTCTATTCCCCTATCGTGGTAACTCAAAATCGCAGAGGCCACCGAAATCTTCACAAATTGCTTATACAAGTTATGGTTCAAATCCTATCTAATTTGAGTTCGGTTAAGGTATAGTCATATCATAAAAACCAAAAAAAAAATTTATATAAGCGACTTTTGTAGCGCGGACAATAATTTGGTTGCGTAAATATTTACACAAACAATAGAATAGCTGCTTTAAAACAACAATAGTTGCCTGATAATTTCAACAATAATTTATTTAGTAACTGCTTCACAACTTCAAGTATAAATATTTTAAATATTGCTTCACAAGTTGGAGAATAATTTGATCATACCACGGTACATACTCGTATGTATAAAGCCTATGTTATACATACAACGGAACATAAAAATTATTTCTTAAACAAACTTTTAATTTTAAAAATCTTCGATCGCACTTATTGAATGTGTTATATTGGTTTTTCTTAATGTATATTGGTAAACATTATTTTCAATAATTATATCAATATATATGTATATTTATATGAAGCTAACTTGACAACTTATCCCAGGCTTTTTTAGTACACTATAAAAATGTACGTAAAATATTCTTCGTGTAATATTTTAATTATGTATTCTGCTTTTTTCCTTTTCACCACGTATAGTTGCTTAAAATATTAATATGTATAATGCGCGTATTCACATTCATGCATATTTTCAGTTAATACCATTTTTATAAATTGTAATTTTATAGTTCCATCTTAATGTAAAACCTGCAAATATTTCCTACATTTAAATACAATTTTTTTTAATATAACTTTCCGTGACTGCTTTAGCTAGTTCCATTAAATAGTAACTTAATTTTATTAATTCCATAAAACTTCTACACAAATACATACATACATTTCTTTTATCTTTATAAACGTGTGCTATAAAGATTTACGCAGACACCTCGGTATTTAAAAGCTTGAGACAAATCCTCGCATTTCGAATTTTTAACAAAACGAATAGAGTTTTTACAGAAAATTTATTTATAAAATAGTAAAGGAATAATTTATAAAATGTTTTACTATTGAAATAATATAAATTCCAATGATATAATTTGAAAAGCACCGCAGCCGTTTTTGATTAAACTGCTATGAATTGAGCTACGGGATAATATACGAGTATGCCTTCTTATACTTCCTTACTTTTCCCGACAATCTCTTTTAACTTTTAAAATAAATTGTGAAGAAACCTAAGAGATATGTTGAAGCACTTCATTTTGTTGCTTAACTTATTTGGTGTCTCAAAATTTTTAATGAGCAATGGTTTCTTAATGCTCATTGTTCCTGCCTGCTCAGTTTTTACAGAATTATAAAACATTATTGATTAAAGACAAAGAACCATAATTTTTTAGGAAAAGTTTTGTAGTAAGTGGCATAAAATTATAATTAGTAAAATATTTTCTCCTTAAACATTCATAGCTAAATAATTTATTCGTTGAAAAATATGGAAGTGCCTTTCCAAAAGTTTTTTTCATTTGTCTCAGTTTAGTTAGTTGAGAGGCGTTTGTTTGACGCGCATACTTTGTGCATGTATATGCATTAAATAAAAGCGCAATAAAAGCGTATTGTTTCAATATTACATTAAACCGGTTATGATCAGTTGATTTTAAATCAAGTGCACCAACATTTTTAATTAGGTTTTATCGTCTCACTAAATTTTTTGATATTTTTATGTTAAAACATATGTACATATTTACAGTAGACGTATATACATACATATGTGGAAATATACATGCATAATGTACGCTTGACATACTTGTTTTTTATGCTATAACGGAATGGAATGTATTAATTTTTTCAGAGAAAACTTACATCAATTATCTTTTGAGTGTAAAACTGTAACGGAACTAACAGGCAACTTTCGTTGACACTTTAAAAATATAGAAAAAATAATCATTAAAACGATGTTTACAAAATTGAAAAGTGAAAACAAAAAAAGGACAAAAAGACTCTTGCATTTATTGTAAAAAAATAAAAAAAATATTTGTTAATTAAAAAAAAATTAGAAATCCTCGGTATTCAAAATTTTCGTTTTTTTTTAAGTGGTGTGCTAGTTTAAAGGTTCCAAGTTTTAGGTTAAATTTAGATCAGCAGTAAATTTAGATCTTTTAGAGTCAGCAGTATAATAAAAAATTGGAAATTACCTTCCATCCAGCACTGCTATTTGTATCACCTTTATCCTTAAAATAAGGAACATTTTGCACCATCCATTCATATATTTGACTAAGTGTTAAGCGTTTATCGGTAGCAGATCCGATTGCATGAGTAATAAGATCAGCATACGATAAATTTCCCCAAGCATTACGTCTTGATGAATTCTTTTTAGCTGAACCAGAATTTTGTGCAGTAGCTGATTGTCCATCTATAAGTAAAATATATTATAAATAAATAAATGTATATACTTAGTTGCATTGAAAAATTTATTAATTTATCGCGACTAAATCTTAACAAATCAAAATATTGCGTTCTTACTCAAACTGTTTTCCGAATACAACAATGCAATAGTCTTGTTATACCCTGCATCTGAATTTTACACTGTGTAAGAACATATAGACACGTCCATAGTGAATTATTATTTCTGCGTTAAAGTTCTGCAGGATAACTCAAAAACGAAAGAGGCAAGTACCACTAAACGATACAACAATGAAAAATGCAGGGTATAATTCATTCGGTTAATACCGATTAAAACGTTTTTACTTGTTTTTCCAGTCCATTTGGCCAGATAATTTTAATGATTCTAGAGAATTTAATCCAGGCTAATTTAACGGAGCATATTAACGGAACTCACTAAAAATTTGTCGGTTTTTGAATACGATCAACAATATTATCGATCAAAATATATCTGTATATGAATGTTTGTATGTACCCTGATTAGAAAACAATAATTTATTGTTAATTCTGAAAGTTTGTATAACAGGAAGAAGATACTAAGAATCGACCTGAGAACAAGTTAAAATTTTAAGATTTGTAAGTTTTCTGGAAGTTGCTTTTAAAGTAAGCTTTTCTCTTTAGTTCTTTGCGCTTAGTACAGATTGTAGCAAATGTTCATTACTCGTAATGTATACATACACATATATTATGTAACAAACACATAAACATTTTTAGTTAAGCATTTTTGTTAATTTACCCAAAGCTTTGCCAACTTTTCGAATAAGTCAAATTGGCACAATCTAAAGATGCTTTTAGAAATTCTGAAATATTATAATTATAAAATGTACTTGAGATGAACTGGCATGTACTTGAAATAACAAAATATAATCATTATACAATATGCGCTTGTTCATACATAATAACTAATACAAGGCGAAAGAAAACAAAATAGTTTAAGAAAATCTGGCGTGTTCATCTTTTTTTTGTTATGTTCTGTTTTTGCTTTTTCTATACAGCTAACACACATGTACATTCCTAAAAATTATAAATTTAAAAAAATTTTTAAAGTAATCATTTTGCACCTACTCAGACTCATCATCATCGTGAACGAATCGAACAAAAAGACAAGACGTTTGGTCACAGAAATAAAAAGTATAATATAAAAATTGTAAAAATTTAAATAAAAAAGATAATAAAAGCAACAAAAAGGAATAATCTTTTTGATTTGTTATTTCTATTTCAGAACACCTATTTCTTGCTTTTGACTAAAAATAGAAAACAACAAAAAATTCAGAAACGATAAATTTAAATTAAAAGCAGAGATTCCTGTTTTTAGTTGATTTTACGAAAAAGTTAAAAAAAAAATGTTGTTTTAATTTAAATTTAATGTTGAGGCAACTAACCAATGGTTTCTTTAAGTACAGAGTTTACATAAAATGTTAATTTATCTAATCATTTAAGTGGCACCATTAAATTTCTATGGCTAAATCATTTAAAATGCTATTAAGAATAGTTTTGATCTTATAGAAAGATCATTTATTTCGAATGCTATTTGCTAATATGTACAAATACAAATGTATGTATGTATGTATATGAATTGAGATAAACTTGTCCACATGAATAATGCGAATCGTAAAATTTACTTTTATTTGGGACCACTTGTATATTTTTGATGATATTTTGACAAAATTCTAACGTATTATGTATGTATGTGCATACATTATGAAAATTTCAAAGCAAAATTTTTTTATAGGCAAAATTAGTTAATTAGCTTTTGATATAAATCAAATCCGAGAAATTTACTGAAAACTAATTATGATAATACCCAAATCGGTTTCCTACAATTTTATATTTAATTTTTTGAGTTCTTTAGTAGAATAATTGATATCCAAGTAATTAGAACCTTACGAAACGCTTTACATACATTGCAATTCTTTAGCTAGAAAAATTAGTTTCATTAAACTTTCAAATTACCTTACAAAATATTCTACTCGATTTTTAATAATGATTCAAACAGTTTTTAAACTGAATAACCACAAAAATTACAAAATGATTAAAGATAAAAGGGTTTTATAGGGTTCCAATTCCATACATGCTTAATTTTATACAATAAAATAAAAAGTGAAATTTTCATACGACCCTGTATTTTAATGAGGCTTCCCTCACATGTGATGAACATCAAAAAGTAAAAAAAAAAAAAAAAACAATTTTATTCCTTGGATGTTCGCCAAAATACCAAAGATTGTATCACTCTAACGCGCGTCTTTTTTTTTTCTATTTTAATTTCTTTTTTATTTTGTGTTTATAACTTTCAATTTCGCTAGCGCAAGGTGCACTATGAATGAAATAAAACATGTATAGATGAGCGAAAATTCTTTAACGTGAAATTTTTTTCTTGTGCGATTTTTGTTTTTGTTCATTTTAAATACTGAAAATCAGGAAAATTTGAAACCAAAAGAAATTTATTTATTTTTTTTTTCTTTTAATTTGCCAAACAAAAAATTCTATTCATAGCGTGAATATATTTCTTCTTGAATACACATACACATTCGTATGTAGATATATGAATGTATGTATGTATATAAAATTTATGAATTTAGTTGAAGCATATAGGAACATTGGTATGTATATGTATACCTTAAAAAAATTAAAAATAATTTATTAAATTTTTAAAACGGCTTACCTTAAACAAAATACCCAAAAATATTTTGTAACTAGAAAACGATTTTTCGGTTAATTTACATTAATTTTTACCGACCGCATTGCATATGATAGGGATACAATAAGGTTGGTCTTTCTGTCTGTGTGTAAATATCTAAAGATCGGACTATTTGAACTATGTCACGGATGGATCAACTTTTGGAATATGTCAGGCCTCGGGAATTGAATTTTTCTGTAGGCCGATTTTACATTTTTGCGCATATAAAGAGAAATAATCAATCAATTTCCTTGAAATTTAATATTTAAGTTCGGGATGTTAAAACATTAACCAACAATTAATATTTTGGAAAGATCAGTGCTCGAAACCCGAACTGAAGGTCAATTATACATTTTGATATATGAAATTTCTTAAAATTTGATATTTGAGTACTAGTTCTTGCCGAAACTAACTTGTGAACTTGAACAAAGCGAAATTCTACTAAGAACCAAATTTACACTTTTTTGGATAAGTTAACTAAAAGTTTACTTGTCCTTAAAATTGTAAAGAAGTGCTTAAAACGCATTTTCATAATCTTCTGCAACACTTTCACTAAACTAGGTAAAACACATCTCGGTCGTTTATGTGTTGACCTCATAAAATTTTTTGATAATGACAATATGTTAATAACAATTAGGACACGATACAATGTGTTGTTCTGGCATTTGAGTAATAATGGCAAGGATATTAAATTTTATATGTGTACATATTGTTATGTAGATATGCTTGCTCATCTTACAAGGGCTCTTCGTACGTAATTTCTCGATAGTATTTTAAGATCACTATCCTTTTCTCTGAATATTTTATTTTACTCAAGTGTAGCTATCATTATTTTATATTCAAGTATAACTATTCATTATGTTTTGGTCACTCCGTATATGTACATAATGCATGTAAATTAATTTTAATATCAAAGTAAAATTAAAATGTTGCCGTTTTCTACTATACATAGCAAACTATTTGAATTTTTGTTTTTTTTTGTTTTTATTGTTGTTTTAACTAAAGTCCAAATTAAATTTTTTATCACAACTCTCGAAACAAGAGAAAATAAAAATTCTTCTGAAATTTTCTGGAATACTTATGCCATTATTTTGCAAAATTTTCCTTATTTTCAAAAAACTTAAATTTTTTTTGGTACGCATATGTATGTGTGTACATAATATCCGTTGAACAATGACAATTCGGACGAAAAATAAGATTGACTCAAAACATTTAAAGCAAAATACGTTGAAGCAAAGAATTTACCTTAATTCTCAAGTTACATGTCAATGCATTTATAATAATTTTGTGCATCCATAAATATTCATATGATGTATGCATGTGTGTACGTAATATAATATTTTTTACAAAGTGCGCATTAAAAGCATATGTACATATGTATATATATATACCTGTTCATTCAAAAATTCTGGAACTGTTCCTAATTTATTATAACATAATAAAAAAAAAATATGAAAATTATTGAAAAATTAATTGAAAATCATATTGTGTAAGAAGCGAAAATTAGTAACCAACTCCCACTAAGAAAAAATTAAACGTCATATTGAATTAATCGAAACAGGTTATTGTATACACGATATACATATATTATATATATATATATATATATATATATATATATATTTGTAGATTATATAAGTATATATATATGCATATATAGTGATATGTGACTGGATATAAGATTGGTAGCTATGGCGCGTATTGAAAAATTATTTAAAGTATTTTTAGACTTATTTAAGAATAAAAAAAATTTAAAAAAATTGAAAATGATCTGAAATTTTATCTTAAGAAACCTGAAATTATTTTATGCGCATTTAATAGAATAAATTATTCAAATTTCATTATACTTATACATTGTTTATCAATTATAGTTGAGTGTATATCATATAGTATAATATAAAATATAAATAAGACACAATTAATGTGTCTTTATATAAATTTTTGTGTAACGTTTAAATTAAGAATTTTACATGTGTTGCAAATTAGCTTTTTTAATTATTTTACTTTACATTTTAACATTTTCATTTTATTATACGTATCAATGTTTTTAAATAAATTGCGCCTTTTCGCAATTACTTTGCATTAGATTCTAGTCTAGTGCGCATTTGCATCAGGTTTGCTAATTATACTTTTTATTGAATTTTTTTTTTTCCAGTCAGCAATAAAAGTAATTCTCAGCGTGGAGTCTAGTCAAAATCAAACAACGTCAACAATAACTTCTTGTGTCTTTTAATTGGTAAAAAAATCTAATAAAGGTTAATCTTAATTCTCTTTAAAAATGCTTTTTTTGAGTTTTTTTTTAAATGTTTCATATTAAAAAAATTTAAAGAGCCCTTGTGAATAAACAAAACTGCTTAATAACTGATAAATATTTAAAATTCAAAAATGCAGAATTTTATTTAGCGTTTCAGATTTTGCACATTTCAGGTTCATCAGCTTAGTTGATAACTAAAGTAACTTTGGGAAGAAACCTATACAACATTTTCTCAAGAAGTCATTATATCGCCCGAAAATTGACAAACCAATTAAGGTTTGTCAATACGTTACAATTGTTTGAAAATTTTCTTCTGAATATGAAAAAATTAACGAGACTTTTAATTTTGTTAAACTTTTTATGTAATAAGATTGTTGGCATATATGGTTCATAATTTATATTTAATATCATAATTTATAATTTGACTTTGACTGTCAAAATACAGTAATAATGTCTCAGCCTTTAAGTAGGAATTGCTAAATTTTTATTTACTAGATTTTTTAAGTCAAGGCTTCTTTTCTCGCAAAATTGAATAGCATTCCTATAGCTAATAATTTCCCTACTTTTGAAAGTTCTCTAGCACCAAGAACATACGCCTTTCAATTTTTGTGCATCTATACGTCTAACGAAATCTTTACAAAAATAAAAAATATACTTATACTATTTTGTAAATTATTCGAAAGACCATTAAATATCGAGTGCTTGCATTTGAAATATTTAAGTTTCTGCCATATTACTATATAAAGCTATTTAGAATACTAAAATATGATTACATAATAAGCATACCTACTGAAATTTGAGTGCAATTAAATTAGAAATTTTAGTGTTTTTGAATGCGCTAAGTACAATTTTTTTCTGTGTTCTGTATTTGAACTTACAGCAAAAGTTGTGAAAAACCTAATTTAGAAAATCGTATATGAAGAGAAATAAGAAATCATTTAGCGCGAAATGAGAAGTTTTTTTGGACTAAGTGATTTTCTGTTTAATGATTGAAAATAATTCAGATTTAGGTTGTGTCACGTTTCATGTAGGGTAACTGTTAACTTTGCATAATTATATAATTAATAATAATATAAATGTGTATGTTTGTACATATGTCATCTTTGACATATGTTTGTACATATGTCAAAAGTTGGGATAAATTGTGCTCAAAATTTAATAAATTTTGAAATTTTATAAGTACAATCTAAACTTGGACACCGGGTTGTGTTTTAAAATTGAAAAAACAAATTGTTTAAAATAAAATTAACATTGAAAAAACTTACCAGCTGTCAATTGTTGATTACTTGCTTTTGTACTTTCTGGATCTTCATTTGGTTCAACAAAATTTTCTGGCCTTGGTAATGGCCATGTATTGGAACGTGCTCTTGATATTGGCTCAAAACTACCTTCCTGTAATTCAGCTACCAAATCCATTTGCAATGACTCATCAGATGGCCTTGGTGGTGTTTGCCAATCATTATTATATGGATCCATAATTTATTTATATATAAAATAATATTTTGTTGAGTATTTTCAATTTTATTTTAAATTCACTTTAATTTTTTTTGTGTATTATTTGATTTAAAATGTATTTTAAGTTTATTTAATAGGTTTATGCAAAAATTTCAAACTTAATAAAAATTAAAAAATTTATGAATCACTTTCGATGTTGAAATAAAATTAATTCTTATTTATTTTAATTAATTTGAATTAATTGCTTAAATCTTGGAATTTTTAGATTAATATAAAATTAATTCCCAAATATGAATAAAACAATTAACTTATGTAATTATTTTACTTTAAAAAGTTGTTTTTCAAGTAATTATCATATTTTTTCACATTGTCTAAAAACACTGTTTGTATTTTACACTTTACAATAAGGTATTTAACACAGTTTTACCAAAGTTCATAGATGTTTCTGAAATATTACGATATAAATATTTATTAAATATTAAACTATGTGCAAATTTTTTAAAATGTTAATATTAAATAAGTATCAAATATGCATATGGAAATTAAATATTATTGACAATTCGTTATACGCTGCAATTTCGTCAAAAAATATGGAGAATCAAATAGCTCAGAATAATTGTACATTTGGTATATTTTCTCATGAATTTATGAAAAAAAAAAATTAGTAATTGACAAAATGTTAGTCTAGCATTAATTTAAGCTAATTTTAATTTCTTATGAACTAACAGACTCAAATGATCGGTACCGAATTTGTATATTATTTTAAATTCCTATGTATTCTTCATTGAAATTGATATACGTATGTATACGGTATTAGTTTAATTTCGGTAACTTGACCAAAAATCATTAAAAAAATTACTAATGACAAAACTCACAACCAACTGTATACACAGTAAACCAATTTTTAAAAATTTTAGATTAGATATTTCAGTAGTGTAATTTATTTCATTAACTGCAGTGATTTTTTCTTCTATAAAATATGAAGTTCGCACATCCTGTGGATATGCTGTTCGCTTTCGTGTGTAGCACAAATTCATATATGTATTTATGTATGTGCTTTTTTTAAATAAATCTACGCATATTATATTCTTTTCTTCCTCTTTCCTTTTCAATAATAAAGGCAATAAGCCGAGAAAAAAATTTACAATTTATATACGGTAGTCATTGTACACAATGTACATACATGTTAAAATGTATGCATATATACATATATCTATTGTTTTAGAGATCAGTATAAGGTCAAAAGGTGCTATATTTAAAATATTAAGAAAAAAAGTGCTGTTACACCTACATGCATACTCTCATATATTTTTGTATTACTTTATACAATTTTGAAAATTTCCTTACAATTTTCAAATACTTATTTCAAATATTCAAACCTTCAAAATTGAAGCTTTACTTTCAAGCTTTCTTATAAAAAATTATGAATGCTAATAGATACTTCATAATAATAGATACTTCATAAGTTTTACAAACTAAAAGTAAAAAAGTTTTTAATTTAAAAATAAAGTGTATTGTCGAATTCTAATTTCAGTTAATTGCCACAAACGAGGTGCGTTTAAAAAAAACTTAGCAAAATCCACAATATTAATATGTAAGTTTGTACCTATGTTCTTGTAATTTGTACTCTGTTATTTAAGTTCTTTATTTAAAGTATAAAATAAAACTATAAAGTATAAAATAATCCTATAACTATCTAGATTTATTAGTTTCAGTTGATAGAGTCGCTAACGCATAAAATCTAACAAATGTTTCACCAAGTACACAAGTAGCAAGTGTAATTCAAACAAACTATTCTTAGTACCTACATTACTAATTCTAATATATTATATAAACTATTTGCATTTTTTTCCTTACAAAAGTCATAGTACGCTTCAACATAATTTACACATATATAATAATTTAAATATTTCAATTAGATATAAGATCACTAATCATAACAATAATTTTTTCACGCTAAATTTTTACCATTCATTTAATTCAACTACACAAGATGACCTTACTCACTAAATAATTACATATTAATAATCTTATGTTTCAAACTTTATGTTATAATACAGTAAACACGTAGTTATTTAAGCATATTCATACATGAACGCTCATTTATATGAAACTCAAAATTATTTTATTTTTACTACCCTATTATATTAATGAATAAATAAAAATTTGAACACAATACATTACCTACAAACGTATTATAATCATTACTTATATACTTATTACACAATTTCTTAACACATTACTTGCATACTTGCTATTATGTATGTAAGTAATGAATAATAACTATTTTTGATATATTAGAAAATTAACCGAGTAAAAATTGCAATAATTAATCTCACAGAAATTTTTTAATACTTCTTTCAGTTATATAATCTATATGATATTAATTAGTTCATATTAGAGCGAATCTACTGTATACTACATTTATTATGTTTTACTTCGATTCGGTTCGTTTGTACTTAGTTCAAAGTACAAAAATTTGATAATTGAAAGAATGAAACAAAAAAGCAAAAATTTTTTCTAGAAATAAGAAAATATGTTAAGCCAGTCAATCATATCATAATTAAATAAATTCACGCATTTCTTAAAATTCTATTCTAAAATTAAATAACCTCCTATGTATTAAATTGAAAAAATTATTTATTAGATAGATTACGTATGTATGTACACATAACTATACATTTTGTATTTAAATCTATTAAAAATAGTTAATCTTAACCTATGTATTCATTGCTCATACTGAAATTATCGTAATTATTTTTGTATTAATTGAATAAAGATTTTAAATATTATTTCTGAATTAAATTTCTGATTTATTTTTATCCAAAAATCACAAAGTATATTTTTTCATATAAACATAAAAAAATTCTAGAATAAAGATTTCATTTAATATTTTTATTTACTTTTGAAATATAACGTTTGTGTACATTGCATATACCCTAATCTTAAAATACTTTATTAATACCATAATTAATTAATTAAACTTTGAACAAATACTTAGTTAAAATTCATCGCATATATAAAATTAAAATATATAGTTTATTCACTTATAAATACATAAAAGTATAATATACATATTGTATATATGTACATATGTACAACCTAGATATGAAAGTATGAGTATAAAATATATCAAGAATGAAATGGAAGCGGTTATCATTATCACTAAATATATACAAGGTATATTCCATACATTTAATTGACATGGTCAAACACACACATTAGAATTTAAAAATAATTTAAATTTGTATCCTACTCAACAAAAAAAAATATATTTATTTCCCATGTGTTTTTTTGCTCTTCATAGCTCTTACTAAAAATTAAAAATAAAAGTGGAAATGACATTGTATTAGTAACATCTAAAAGCTTTTCTACATTATACTTTAGTTTCACTTCAAAAATTCTTCAAATGAAATGTGTGTAGGCATAGAGTTCTGCAAATTTTGATTGTGTTTGAACCTTATTCATTTGTTTATTTATTCAAACACTAATATTGTTTACTAAATTAAAATGTACAAGTTTCAGAATGATCCAATACATGAAATACGTATTGAAGCTCTTAACACATTTTTCATAGCCATATTGTGCTTGATTGAATCTTTATTATTAAACTTTCACATACGTACTATATTTTATAAACTATCTTGCATAATAAAATTAATATTCGAAAATTTTTCTGAAAACCAAAAATGGAAACAATAATTTTGAAATATGAAATTTTCGAACAAGTTTTTAAACGTCCTTCAAAAAATTATTCAAGTAAGATTATCATTATAAATAATAAATTTTTAAAATATTTACAAATAAAAGAGATCTGCCTAATTTTTATTAAACTGTTCTAAACTTATTCAATTCTTTATTGAAAACTATTCACAAGAACAGGATAAATTAATTTTATTGAAAGTCGTATTATTAGCACTAGTTAATATTATTATGTGCATATTACGATTTAACAAAATTTGTGTCAAAAAATTCTATTCCACGTATCACTTGAATTGAAAAGATAATTTTATTCAATATATAAATTTAGATAATTTGCATATTTTCAAATAAACAATATAACTTACTATAAATACATTTGTATATAACTATATGATCTAATGTATAATTTACACATACGTACATGTATACGCTACACTCACACATATTCATATATTTATTTACATAATACGTATAATATACGATTTACACGTTCCCAAATTATAAATATAACACAAAGGCACTAAATTCGGCAGTCAACACTACTGAAAACTAAAAGTTAACCAAATCGCTTTACAAACTCTCACGCCAAAAAGAATCATAATATATTCCTCAATATTTGAAATTGTATTTTATTAATTTTATCGTTTATTATATTCTCTTTAACTCTACATTGCATACTTTGCATATTTATAGTTACATATATTATCATAGGTATTAAACATATGCATATCACTATATATCTATTACATGTGTATATGTATATCTTAATTTCTTATACATTATTCAGAAAACCAATTCAAATACATAAGAGAGCGTTAGTGTATAAGTAAATTTTCCTAAGTTTTGTTTTTATCTATACAATAAATGTAAACCATGTGTTGAAAGGTATGAGGAAGAATAAAAGAAAAATATTTTAATCTCGTCATAAGTTGAGTTGCACCAAATTACAGAATAAGACGTTTATGATCATTTGTATTGTAGCGGTGAGCATCAAATTTCACGATTTTCTATAGAAGTTCATTATGATTTTTATTGTTTATTATTATTATGTGCTGCTTATTTCAAAGAAATAAAAAATGGTTCATAAAATATAATTTTATTAAAATTGTTTAACGATTTATTCTAAATATTAAAGTAGCACTTTTCCTTTCAACAAGTAAAACTACTGCTGTTAAAAACAATCTATTACATTGTTTAAAATACTTTCAATTGATATTATACCAAAATACTCCAACTGATTGCATACATTTGGGATTAGACAAAAAAAAAAGCGAAGTTAACATAATAGTTGAATGCAAGGGTTAATTGCGTGAGTTAAGAAAAATAATTATGTTTTTGATGTTTTGGCATTATGGTTTATGATGGATGATGATCGTTAGCTTTCTGTTTTTATGTAAATTTGGAAAAGCTTGGAATTTTAGATATGTAAGGTGCAGAAATTTCGAATTTTACAAGTTTCGAAAGACGATAACGTAAAAGGGCATGGAGGTGGAAAATAATTTTCTTTCAATGAAGATTTTAGAGGCAAACAATTTACGGTAACAGAAAAGCAAATACTGAAGATTGAAATGTTATTACTATTCTAATAGGTGCATATATTGTAAACAAATTTATATAATTTTATTTTCTTGTGTGCACTGGTGGAATAATTCTGTAAGTTGTCCATAAATAACATAACTTTAATTTTGTAGAGCACCGCAATTCTTATGTTGAGAAACTGATTTATAACCAAATCTCTCAATT